CAAATAACATGGTTGTTAATGGCACAACGGGATTACGTACGTGGGAGGTAAGAAGATGATTATTATTACATCATTAGGAATTCTTTCAAAAATACTACTAATATTTACTTCTCCTAATTCCAGGCAGCAATTATGCTCGCAGATTGGGCACTGTGTAACATTGAAATAATTAAGGAGAAAAAGATTCTAGAACTTGGCTCTGGTGTTGGATTCACTGGTATTGTAATTGGAAAATTTTGTCAACCTGAATCTATTTTACTAACTGACAGCCTAAAGACAATAGAAGAATGATGTACTAAAGACAATAGAAGAGAATGTCTCCATTAATTTTCCCATGTTGAAACGGCATCAAATGCCTGAATCTGTTTTATTCAAGGGTACTGCTGATGTTTCATTAGGTAGGTATAGTAGTTATATTTCTTGAATATACTCGTAGTTTGGTACGATGAATGAAGTACATACTGTAGTTAGTACTGAAAATGAGTTGTTTCTTTTATAGGAATTATGAATTTAGACTGGAATCACATTGATGATGTTCCAAGTGAATTATGTCCAGACATTATTATTGGAAGTGATATTATTTATGATCCAGCAATAATTAAACCTTTATGTAACGTTATAAAAGCTTTGTGTGACAAAAACGAGAATATTAAAATTTACATCGCTGGAGTGCTAAGAAATGAAGAAACATACAACATGTTTCTGGAAAGAATAAGTATTGTCAATTTTTTTAATTGAAATTATAGTTATTGCATGATTGTTATCAAAATGTACCTAAATGATAATGAAGCGTCGTTTTTTTTCTTTTTCAGAAAATATTAATTTAGAATATGAAGATATACAACTTACGGAAAATGTTTTTGTAGAATGGGATATTAAGGTAAAACAGTATTTGTTAAGAATTAATAAAATATCTGAAACGTGAAACCGAGTTTTTATTCACTTATGTTCTGAATGTGATAAATTTTATACTTGATAAAAAAAAACAGATTGTTTCTACTGCTCAAATGCAACAACTTTTCCCATGAGATGAGACCGAAGTTCAAATATACACAAAAATCGTTTCATACAAATTGTTACAGCAGTCATTTAGTAAGGAGGTGTCGATATTTTTTTGAGAAATTGATATTGGTCCAGTAGGGAAAGTCATTGCATTTGAACAGTAAAATCAACCCTTTTTATTTAATCAAGTATAAAAAACATCCTGTATGTGTTTATTCCTTATTAAAAATGTTAGGTTTCACTTCCTTACAATCTGATTTTGTTCATTGAAGTANGATTTTTTTTATTAATGATACATTGGTTCCTAAAATTAAATTAAGTGCTAAGATCTTGACAGATTTTTTTTATATTAATTATGAAAATAAAATTGCCTGCAACTTGCGTAATATTGCCGGAAATATTTTTTTAGGAGCTTAGTCGGTATAGATGACCCACGCTGAACTGTCCCACCAAACTCAATGACAGGGGGGCGCTAACATCGTTCAACTATATGGTTTCCAACATGGCAAAAATCTGAACCAGCGATCCGGTATTGACGGTGGCGCCCCACTGTCAATGTCATCGACAGGACAGTCCAGTATTTTGGAACTATAGCGGGATTGATTCGGACCGCACGCAAGATTGAAATGACACAGGACACTCAGGCAGTTGTCAAAATCAGCTGTTGGAGTATTTGCGATTTCATTCACAATTTCATTGTTTTGTCTGTAACTTTATCCATAAATACTAAGTTATTTCGTATTTTCAAACAGTTCGTTTTGATAAGTTATCATTTGATCTATCATGCTTTATTAATTGTTATTTATACCTACTTTACTATCAAATATAACCTCAAAAGTGCATTGAACAAAAAAGTTAAATATGTCTGAAGAAAGTAATAAATCTACAACTACTCCTCAAGAAAGTAGCAGCGGGACTAACAAAAATAAACAAGAGAACCCTCCGGGTAAAAAGGAAGAAGCTTGGGGGTACGATTTGTACCCTGAGAGACGAGGTACATTTTCCCCCAAACTTGGTAACATTCTAATTGGAAAAGAGGGAAAGGAGAACATTGATAAATTAAAGTGCGAACAAAATGTTTACGACTGCGTCAAGACCAGTAAGTTTTAAAGATTAAGTTAGAAATTGAGTGTAAATAGTACCTTAGTAAGAGCAATATGAAAAGGGCTGTTTCTTTTTCCAGGTGCAATTGTGAAGGTTATGATGGCTGCTTTGAAAAGCTCTGGATGGTGAGTACTTTTCTCTAGGTACTCTTTTTGACTTCGATATCTCAAATTCATACTTATAACTACTCATTGTAATGTAATTAATCCCTTTTTTCAGTCCAATTGATATTCGAAGACACATTTCCTGTGAGGTGTGTGACTACTCTGTCAGTGGTGGTTACGATCCTGAATTAAATCAGGTAAAAATATTACTATTTTACTTTACAGCAAGAAATAAAGAAATTTTATAAAATATGTATTAATTGATACATTCTAGATTGTAGTATGTCAAAACGTTTCAACGAGGCAAGGCATGGTCCAAGGTGTATTAGCTCATGAGATGATCCACATGTTTGATTACTGCCGCAACCATCTGGACTTTAAAAATATGGAGCATTTAGCATGCACGGAAATCCGTGCTGCGAACCTAACTCACTGCTCATTTACCAGTGCTTGGTCGCAAGGTGACGCATCATGGACGAAAATCAAGGAAGCTCATCAGGTAAATTTTCTACAACATTAAATTAATTAAAGCCATTTCATTGGTATTCAAACATGTTCAAAAATTCCATAGGTTTAATATATGAAAAAATTTTAACCATTTCCTTTACCTTTCAGGATTGTGTGAAAACCAAAGCATTATACTCTGTAATGGCGGTTCGACAAATAAGCAAGTTGGAAGCTATTGATGTTATAGAGAAAGTGTTCCCAAAGTGTTACGCTGATCTTGAGCCAATTGGTAGGCGAATCAGGAGAAACTCTGAGGATATGACCAGAGCATTTAGAGAAGCTGCTTACTATGGCTATGAATAGTCACTTTATTGTGAAATTATTATAGGACTTGTTAGTGTAGATGTAAATATCAGTTGTTAAATAATACACATATGAAGTGATTTAAAATAATGTCTTTTATTTCATTATTTTCATTAACACTAGTACATGTCTAAGACACATGAAAGTTTGGTATTTAATACTGTCCTTTCCAAGGTTGTATTAAACATTAAATTACAAATAAAAATATTTCAATTTAAACTTTATAACAGGAGCAAAAAGGCACTAGGTGGACTGGTATTTTTAAACATTATAAATATACAATCCTTGTATTAATGGACGCCATGTGTTTTGGACAAGATTGATTGACTGTGTATAATACAATATACATAAATTTGTTTAAATCTGGGGAATTACTGAAGATATTTTTGTGCCATTAAGTAATTTGTGCTTATAAATAACATGAAGTAAGGACAGAGGGCTTAGTGTGAGTTTACATGAAATATATGAAAATTTTAGTTCGCGTTTGACGTAAACTCACACTCAGTCCACAGGTGGTGAATACAAATCTGTAGTATTTCACTACATTATTTCGTTGAATATAAAAATCATAACCCTCCTTTTGCTTTGCCGTAGTCGGGTAAAAATGACTAGAGTTTCCATAATGCTTTTGTACATTTAAAACATTGTACCTACACATTTTAAATTGTAGGATATTATTGTGCTGTAAAAATATGGTTTGGTTAACGCAAAGGATAGTAGATAGAGCCTACCAGAATAACTAGAGTTCGTCAATATTTGGTCGATCACGAGAAAATTAAGATAAGATATTGGAAAATTATTAATTTATTTCTTAACTTTCGGAAATTTCGCTAAGAGTCTTTATTAAATGAATTATTAGGTAGGTACTTTAGCTACACTTATAACTTATATTTTTATTTTTAATTCACGGTTAGGCTCTACTGCTTTACTCTCCCTTGAACCATATCACTTTTACTTCACAAATGGACGATGATCAACATTTCTAAAATTAACAAAATTAAATAACATCTCATTAAACCTATTTACATAAAATATAAATCTTTAACAATAAAAACTCCACCACAGGCAGCAACTATAACTAACTATTAATAAACCATACAAATAATAATGGAAGTGAAATTTACGTATTAGTTCCTAAAATTAGATGTAAACATAAATGAATGAGATACTAAATCGTCTTGGGATCAGATACTGTTAGTCGTAATCTAATTAATTAATAAATAACACGATCCTTCTGAATATTATTGCGGTAAAGTTCCAGATAACCGTTTGAGCCACTTTTCCTTATTATTAAAGGCCCATATATTCACGGTAATACTATCTATACAGTAGTCCAACTCGGCCATATTTTTGAAATAAATGTCAACAGTCGCGCGGTACGTCACAGTATGACAACATGCGATAGGGCTGCCCACCTACAGTACCCAGTTTAATTACATCTGCCTACTTAGAATTTCCATCTAGTTTTTTGATTATATTTTTTTATTTAGTTAGATAAACAAAATACTTTGTGAATGGAATAGGTTAAAAATGTGTGTTGTTTTGTGATTAGTAGATTTAAATTATTTAAAACTACTTAAATAATTTTGAAACTTTAATAATCATAATGATCTGTTACGTTAATTTCGGGCGAGTGAAGTCGTGGGCAAAAGCTGGTTTAATACAATATAATTTTCATTTCAAATCAAACTGACTGAAAATGGCAATTTGACTAGTTTTTGATCAATTTGACCGTAAATGACGGTCAGTCAAATTCAATCAGTTTTGTCATTTTTAACACTTGGCCACCGACGTCCATTCGGCAGATTCACGACACCCCCGACTTTTGCATACCGAGCGCATACCGAGATTTGAATTTCGAAAGAAAGTTCTTCGTTTCGTCTGTTTATATGAAGTTACAATACTGTATGATATTATTACCGTGATATATTGATCTTTTCTTTGAACGATCCATAGCGACTTGCATTCCTTTACCTTTAACACAAAAACTTTTGACTTCGAATTTCGAATTGTTTGCGTATTAGAATCGCCATCAAAAGATTTAGTATGAAAACATAAACAGCGCCCCTGTGAACGTGACGTGAAACTAAGTATGGGAAATGATAGCACGAAATTATTTTTTACAATCGATATCGTCACGTTATCGTTGAATTCGAAGGCTAGGTATCGAATTTTGTCGAATACGCAAACGATTCGAAGACGTAATTTTTCGTGCTAGAGGTACTGAAATCACTCAAAAGGATAATCACTGGAGTAGTAATTTAAGGCTTGATTAGGTACGAAACTAACTAAAACTAGTTTTAATCTGGAGCTTTTTAGTGTTTGCTCTTATTCACTTAAATTCAACGGATCTTGGATCTGCTTAAAACGAGTTTTGAGTTTCTTTCTGTAATATGGGCCGATGGCTTGATAATGCTTTCAATAATTACATTTCTCATAGAAGTAATTCGCCTATGACATAATTTTTTAAAGTTTTCTATCACTTATTATCAAAGGAATTACATTTTATAGAAATGTGATTGCAAAATAAGCACTACATTTCAAAATCTTATATTTAATGAACTGATCTTAGAACTATGAAGGCGTTTGTATTTTAATTAGTTAACTTTAAAAGCTTAACCATTTAGGTATTTATTAATAATCACTATGGGGTCTGTTACCATGATATAAAGTTGGTAATAAAATGTACCTAGTACAGTAAACGACATCACACATCTTAATTGATGAGTAAATGTTTACGTCGAACATTAAAATTCACAATAGATATTTTAAAATAAACATTTTAAAAGAAAAGGCATCTTTTGAGTTAATATTTTTAAATATTACCAAGCTAAGTTATGGTCCCACTCAGCCCACTAATTAGGTAGGTATTCTAATAACAATTTGTGTAATTTTAAAATACGAAAATAATCAAATAAAATATTTATCACATTTTCGTTCTGATATGTTAGCCAGTAGGTACGCTAGATTTAGATATTGAAACTTTAATAAGTTTTGAATTTAGTGTTAAACCATAGCCTAGGTAATCATATTAGTAAATCTGTCCTTATTCCATAGGTATGGCCAAAGCATTGGTAAGTCCCATAAATGTTAAGGTATCGTGATTATTACATGGTACCTACTTATTCCTTGCCCATCAGCGACAAACGTAGCAACTTTCAGTTTGGTAAAGCGTTGTTCACACGATCTTGTTGCTGATGTAGACACAGCATGTGCTTGTTCTTTTAAATCTAAATACTTGATGATTTCTTATAAATAATTAATAACGCTCAAAGGGTCACACTACTATCCGTAAGTAGACTAGCAATTGTCTAATATTTACATAAATATATTACAAAGTCTGAGGCACTATAATCACATCTCGTCTGTGATATTGCAAAGTATAAGTCACATTCACAGGAACTTCTCCGGCACTTATTTATCTCGTGACGCTTCACTGAGGTATGTTGTCCAGTAGATGATATTGAAAAGGAAGAAACCTACTGGGAATAGAATAAGGGCGATACGGTCTAGTGTACCATGTTGGGCGCCACAGAACATGACGCCGTCATACACCATCGCCGACATACGCGCCATGGCGCCAGTCGGCCGATCACCACTGGCCATTGCCTCCAAAATGGGGGAATCCTAAAAATTTAAACACCATAAAATAACATGATAATCAACATAAATCAACAATTACGCAGTACTAAAGCAATATCTAATTTCTAGACTAAAATAACCTAGACACAAACGAACTACGATTACTTCACACACGCACGATTGTCGGCTGACATGCGCTTAAGCTGTGCACACATTCAATTTTCTTTAACCAATTACCTACATACTTGTACAACTATTTTCAGCACATCACATTTAACAAGGTCTAGACCAACCCTATTCTGAATAAAGCGACTTGGTCATTATAAACCAGTCCTGAAGATTTTCAAATTCAATCGCAGATAAGATTAGGTACTTGCTGTTTAATTTGATCGGTCGAATGATTCAGAACATTATGGACACGTGAACAATAACATGCCTCGTCCAATTTATTATACTTGTCTACAATCTACTCAAGTGATTCATAAATTTTTAACCTACATGCTTTAGCTTTTCTAATTTTGCCTACTCTTTACTTAAAGTGTACCAACGACTGCGTATAGCGCTAGCCACACAGTGCAGTGTTCAGTTTGATTTCGTCTTTACCTTGCTAACAGACCTTGTTTCACATCCAACCTTATTTTGTCTCCAATTCCTTTTTCCCGAGTGGGACGACTAAAAATTTGTGTCCTAATTTTAATGATCATACCACGCGTACGTGTTAACCTATGTTATTATACGTGCAAAGAACAACACCGTACAAGGTTAGGTACATATTTTGCTCAAGCTGAAGGCTCGTGGCGCTTGTGTTTTGTACCTACCCTTTGGATGGTCTGGTGGGAGAACTGTTGTTTTAGGCCTTCGTCCTCGACGCTTAGTTGCGGGGAGAAGACACCGCCTTGCGGTGTACCCGTCACAGGGGTGCTTAACCTCTGTGAAAAGAAATGTATTTTTATGGGCTGACCGCAGGGACAACCGTCAAATTATGTGACACTAGCTAACTGATTATAACTTATTCTTGTGCAATCGCAACAACAATAAACTTATAAATTAACATGGCCTCGATTAATGTTTAGCCACGTTGACACCACCTGAAAATGATAAGGATTTGGAAACAAAATTACAAAACACTGAAATACACAATGATAATTAGTCAAGTATTCGTATAAAACTTATACTTAATAGTGATAGTGAAAAGCAGAAAGCATTTATAAATTGCTGATTTAAAAAAACTAAACTACCTAAAAGTCTACCTACCCAGTGGTATGTACCTACCTATGTAAAAAGATTGCCTAGAGACTTCTGTATGTAACATTATAAAAGATGCCTAAAAGTGTAGGTAAGTAAAAGTGGTTAAAATAATAAAGTTACAATTTACATTTCAAACTAGTTGCTAGGCCACGCTTATTGTATACCTACCGAATACGAGTAAAGTACATTTAAGTATCTTGATTAAGAAGTAATATGACTCTAATACTCTAAGTTCTCCTAATGTGCCTTTTTCGGACCATAAAATCGGTCTACTCTCTAGCATCTAGCTTGGTTTGGTATTAAGTACTTATCAACACAGGGTCAAATTATTCTGTACACTCCTAGAATGCTCTAGAGGACAGTCCTTTACCTGTGAGTGGTTGATATGTAAGGGCGGCGGCGCGAGCTGGGCAGCTGAGGCCGCTCTTCTTAGGTCCTGCCGTCGCCTGCTCCAGTTCTTGTCGTACCGAATTCCAAACAGCACGACGAAGTACTCCAGGAGTGCGAAGAACACGAACAAAGTGCACGAGATCAGCCAAACTTCTATGCACTTCAGCTCGAGTGCATCTGGAGAATTTGTGCTGGAAATTGGTAAGCTGTTTTATTTTTCCATGAGATTGTATTACTTATTTGGGCATAAAATTCATGGAGATAGCATAGAGAATCTTCGTAAAATGCACTTGGATGCACACGGATATTAGCGAAAGGTAAAATTCAGATTTTTAAAGCATAGTTGAAATTGAAGAAACATCTGATAGAAATATTATTACTGATTTGTAAAGCCAATGTCTGTAACCAACACTTAAGTCGTTCGTCGGTAACAGAAGACCAACGAATATGTGGAGACAACGACAATAGTAGGTACAGTCAGCGTCAACTAGTTCGTAACACTCAAAGTAGCCAAAAAGCTTTTTAGCAATCTTTGTTACAATTGGAGTAAGGTTGTGTTGTATTTTTTTGGCCACTTTGGGTGTTGCGATCTATTTAACGCTGACAGTATCGTAGCGTAGCTAGTTTAAGTACCGATTCTGAAAAGACGAAGCACTTAGGGCTAAGGGCTAAGATGTTCTTTATCAAATTACCTGACTGTGTCAAACATGGTGACCAGCGAGAGCAGCGTGGTCACTAACAGCACCATTCGACCCGGCACGATCTCCGGGATGACGCAAAAGCTGCCCCAGGAGATGATCACGAACAGGGAGGAAGGCAGGTAGCTCTCCAGGAGATAGCTCCGGAGCTCTCTGGATAGTTTGATTTGCAGACGAGCTGCTGAGTGCTCGCCTGGAATCAGCATAAAGGGTTAATAAGGAACTGGAAAATACAATGTTTAAAGTGTCGCTAAGATTCTTGTCTCCATAAGATTTTTTTTTAAATCCACTTGTGCAGTCAGCGTCAAATAGTTCGTGACACCTAAAATGGCCAAAAAGTTGATACAACCATATTCCGAATGCAACAAAGTCCCGTTACTAACTTTTTGGCTACTTTGGGTGTCACGAACTGTTTGACGCTGACTGTACCATGCAGATTAAGAGTAGGCGCACACCGTTGATTTTTCGTCGGTAGATTTAGTCGGGCAGTTGATCAGTATGGACATCTATGGGAGTGCGCACACTACGCCGATTCGATTTGGCCGATTCTTCATACAAATTAAAATCGGGCACAACTATCGGCCAACTAAAAATCAACGGTGTGCGCCTAGTACTCTAATTGTCATGGTCATAACAAGAATCTTAGCTTGCACTAAACATCAACAAACACATAAAATTTCCATGCAGTCCAACTCTACATAAACTATCTTCAAATTAGCTACTTAGAAAATGGCAAAATTATTCCTACAAAAAGATACCAATCAACACTAAATACTTTGATGAATAGTCTTCTCTATTTTAAAACTAATATTTATGTGTTTAATAAATATTTTATGTAATTTAGATATGTATAAGGTGTCAAAGATGCTCTACATCTCATCAAAAAAATTATACCTAACTACTTAACTACATACAATGATAAAAACAACGACGACAACAATACAATTTCTAGTTAAAAACATCATAAAATTAAAGACATTCACAATGTGTTTTAGACTAAATACAAATATAAAACCACACACTTACAAACAAGGAAATGCTCGGCTCGGACGCTGTCTAAAATTTTGAAATCTAAATAAATTAATAGTAAAATCATAAAGAAGTTATTTTGGTGGATGAAAGTAACGCGTTCAAAATTAACATAACCCCCTTCGCTTTTGATTAATTCAAATTATTTGAATTCATTTGGTGACGGCAGAGAAGAATACATTTGTCACCAACCCCTACTCTTCCCGCGGGTGTCGTAAGAGGCGACTTAGGGACTACACATCAAACAGAGAATGGGCAGCAGCGCTCTCTGAAAAACATCAATCTTTTAAACTGCGATCTCCAACCCGCCTGCCAAGCGTGGAGATTATGGCAAAACCCTTCACTTTAGTGGAAGAGGCTCATAGTCCAGCAGTGGACTGTAAAGGACTGTTGATGATTTGAATTCATTTATTAATTATTATTAAGATTCGTAGCTCTACGACTCAAATGTTATGAATTAGTTTAGTAGCATAAAATATAGAGTAGCGCTTACTACGAATTTTAGAATCGGCAATGGTATAAAATATCGGTACTTTATGAAAAATATTAAATTTAAAGTACCTACTGTTCAGGGTTGCTTAGTATCCGGGCCAAGCGGGCGGCATGCGAGCGTAGCACAACGCATAGCGTTAGTGGACACAGTTAGTTCAGGCGCAAACAGAAGCGCAAAGCAATAAATATACATTTACCTTCACCAAAATTGCGAATATGTTTACTTTTGTCCGTGACGAACGTCACAACGTATTTGGGGAGTCGGAAGTGGCTGCGTTGCTCGCTAATCAGACCCAGGCCCAACCACGACGCCACGTCACGCCACTCGAACCGAACGTCTTGTGTTGTGTACTTATCTAAAAAGAGATACCATTAAACATCATTATGACTGTGATAATAAAATGGTTTATGCGATGCAGATGGTTACTTCTTCATGAAAACTATTGTTGGAGTTGCGTCAGCTGTGGCATTGTCTAGACGAAGGTCTGTCAGCTTGAGAGCAGACGAGTCTAAAATTGATATTTTTACCAATCTCCAAGAATAACTGTATTATTCGAATTTGGATTTGATTTATGAGGACAGATTATTATGGGTAATAAATATTACAATCGCATTTACTCCTCTGTAATAAAGTAATCCTGGATAGATATAATCATATAAGCGATCTTTTAGTCCTTGGAAAGTATTAAGTAGCAAGTGGGATAGTAAGAATTACTTTTGTAAGACTGAAGTAGAATACAAGGTAGTCTACATGAGTTGATTGATGAAGACACTGTCTGCATAAAAGTTGTTTATATTTTAACCACCCCTTTATTGGAATCATTAGGGACGCAATTTCTCACATAACATTAGCGGACGTAGACACGAGTGCTATTAGATTTCGCTTCCGATTCGGTAGAGTTCAATTATTGTTTGAGAACTATTAGGGGTGAAGAAAAGCTAACACGTAATCGAGTCAATATCGTTTCGTGGAGGAAATAGATAACATATAAGATGTAAAAAATTTGATTTCACAGTTCGATTTTCTGAGTGAGAAACTATTGTGTTAAAATCAGAAAGATCTGAAAATACTCACAACTACTGAAGTCTATTGCACAATTCTGCACGTCCAATGGATACAGAACGAAGTCCATCTCGCACTTGATTGTGATGGTAGCACTGAGAACAAAAGCGCACAGTCACATCTCAATGCGTTGTAATTTGCTCGTAATTCCTCTACTTAGTCGTTATACACTCGAGTAAACCGTTAATCTTTTGTTAAATCTAATTGAGAACCGCGGTAAATTTTATGTGTCTTCGTAGAGCCAACCAGCGTTTAAAATTAGTGCGTTGTAAGTTGCCAAAACAAATAGTGAACATTGTACAGTTCAGATTGGATTTATAATGTATTGTTACACAATACTTGCGTTTAACGGCAACAACATTAGTTACGGTTTGTCAAAATACACGAAATTCGATAAGCCAAATTGTTGCTTTATTTTTTACTCGAGATGATTTCAGATACAAAAACATCTTGATATACCTATCATCAGAATTATCGCCATCGTTTAAAAATGAATGTTAACTAAATCAATGTCTTCTTGAGACTCTACAAATCAACATCAATTTCCATGTGATAGAAAACATATTCGTGAGTAAACAGCTTGATAAATTAATTAATAAGAAAAACAGACGAACCCAATACTGACTGAGACGGTGCCATTGGAATACAGCCTAAGTGACGCCATCTCCTGGAGCACGGAGAGGATCCTCATGGTCTGCAGCTGCCAGATGTACAGGTCCGGCGTCCAGATCAGCTGCCGGTACTCCCATGGCAGGTCGATGAACGGCGTGTTCTTCGGAATGTGTAACCGATGCTCCTCCCATGATACTTGCAGGAAAATGTCCAATGTTATCTCCTGGAAATTGGAAATTCAGTTAACTGTATTCCAATTTAAGAACTAGAATCGTTTGTAGAGTTTCAGTCGTAGTCTCGTAGCAACATATGGTTCGGTGGAAACTCATGTTGTTAAGTTAGTTGGAAGCAATAAACATGTTGAATATTGAGTATCTATCTATTCATGTTTTGCATTAACTTTCGTCAAGTTTTTGTTTTACTCGTGTCTTTGCTTGTTACATGTTTTACCAGTGTAACAAGATTTATCGACGTGCTCAAGTTTTGTTGAGGAAAACTAATATGTACGAGAATGTCACATTTGAAAAGTTTCGTAATAGTTTTATTGGATCAGTTCTTTTAGTATACCTCTCAAACTACATAATAGAAGTTATTTGTTTCTGGCCTGTAAGACAATGACAGTCATATTTTATTAAAAGTTAAGCAAACACCAGTGATAAAGCTCACCCATATCGAGATTCATGATTAAGGTCTGATTTTGTATTATAGTACTCGGGACACTAAAATTGACCTAAATCACTGCTTGAAAAGCTCGTAAACCTGACTTTTGCTAAGTAGTTATTGTTTTCAGGTCGTGGTTGGCATTTCAAATGAGCGTCGTCATATTTTGGGGCGACCTCAACAGTTTCTGGGGCAACGATATTTTGCCATTTATTTTGCGTAGGACAGTCTCTATTATGATTATTTTAATAATGAAACGTATTTCGTAAAAACTTAATCTCTTACTCGTTGGTGTCAGAAGATAAAATCCTTTTTCCAGAGGTGGTTTTCTACTATGAACCTAAGCATGTTAGCTTTACTGCGAAAACGTTTACTATGCCGTGTATTTTCTTTTGTCCCCTTTGTTTACCTATTCACCGTCTTCTATTGACACTTTGAAACCATAAAAATATAAAAATAAAATTATACCGAAGCAAAACAAATACAGAAATAAATGGCCTGTCCAATAATAAACAGCTACCACATTGTGGCTATAGTAGTTCCAAAAACTTTTTTAGGAGTTTCGTGGCAGTTGGAATTTGCGATTCATAATTTCCCTTTCATGCTTCAGTCAAAGAAAATGGCACGAACTTTTGTTTTGAAATGAAAATTTTTTAAAACAGACTTTTTTGATTGTGATAATTTCCATCACTTACGAGTAATGTTTCGTCTTTTTCAATAAGGCTATAATTATCATGTAATAACATAATGTGGCAATTTGACTTAGCTACTGGTAAAAAAAAACGCATTTAAACTTTAAATACCTACCTACTCTTGTCCAGTTTCCAGCAAATGTATCATGAAACAACTCATTCCATCATTAAACAGTCTTATTTGTTAAAAAAATATTATTATGTAATGAACAATTTACGCTAGTATAAAGTTGTACAAATAAATGGATACCTACATACCCCTTTGTTCTCATCAACTCCGGACACCCTGTTGACGTTCACACCTATGTACACGGTGGTGTTTTTCCCTGAAACACAACGACATTTCTTTCAATTTCCTCGAATTATGATAAACTATAGCGAAATACAAGTAATGATATCTAATTTTACTGTGGTTACTCGGAGACATCGCCGGTGCCTCCTTGGCGGAATTTATGTTCACTTTGCCCACCCACCCATAATATGCATGTTTATTTACAAAGTTTTAGTAGCTAAGACAACGAAATGAAGGCAAATCGCTTACAAATTTCCACTCTTTTAGCTACAGTAAATGTCAATTCAATTCTGTATATTTAAAATTATAATTAGTATTTCACGATCATGTCTTGGATGAAATGTGTTGACTGACACTTAAAAAGACTTGCTGAAAGTCTATAAACCTTAATTAATCCTGGTATACTAGATACCTACTAGGTATACTATTTTATAGTTCTTTTGTCGTACTGCACCCTTTCATATTTAAGCAATCAACTAAAAATTACTTAATTGATCTAGAGAGAGTGCATCTATCTATGTCATGTAAACGTTTATGTGTAGGTCAAGCACAGCTTTCGATATCTAAAATTATTTTGAAACGGTCCGTTTACATAAAACCTGTCAAGGAGGGATAGCTTGACTAATGACCGCTCGTCAACCTCGGCGATTCGCTGACTAACATCCGCGTCTAAGTGGATAGTGGTTATATCAGCCACAGTTGATCTTTGGTCAAAAATAGGCCGATATTTTTAGCAACAGACCCTGTTTTGATACAACCCGCCTCTGAAACAGGATTATCTTTGGATCTAGACCGTATATCATTTATTATGTCCGCAGATCTAGCGAATACACGATAACTGTATATTATGATATTTACTTCGACTCGTGTAGAACAAAGGAAACAAAGTTATAACTGGTTACTACTTTTTACACTGAAAGGTAATTAATAAGATAATTTCCATGTCCATTCTCAGAATTTCTTCCTTATTTTGACAATATGACTATGCCTCTACCTACCTATAAACAAATTACTGAATGCGTTTTTTCCCACTCCATTTTAAAGTGTCTGTCTAATATGGATTCACAAAATGAAGCCTTTACTAAAATTGCTTCCGCGAAGTCCTACTATTAAATTGCTTTAGAATCGTATTCGTATTGTAATGATCAAAATGGAAATTAGAAATATTCAAGTTTCAAATCATTTTTGTACCTGGTGTAACTGTAACTATACAAATGAAAATATTTTTAGGAGCTTTCTCGGCATATTTATAGACTTTGGGGCTCTACATTATTTAAATTAAGTAGGCACTTACCAGGCGGAATGTTCCTATTGTAGTTTGTTGGTATCTGGTAGATATGCTGGTCCATGTACAGGATCTGGCTGAAAAAAGTTAAGATTTATCAGATTACTATGAACTGAAACAAAACGACTGAAAGATGTATAGAGTTATTTCATGATTATACAAATTACTTGGTCTGTTTTTGAGGCTTACTAGCGAATAGTTAGTTGGTCTAACTAAATGGACTAGATATTAAGTTTAGTTTTAGCTAAATTGGCGGGTTCGAATGCTTTGCTCCGCTAAGTTTGGAATTAGGTTTTAATTATATTACAACAGCACATGTCATTGTAATTTGAATGCTTTATTATTTTATTGTAATTACTTAANTTAACTCATAAGGGGTAAGTATACACACCATAAAATAATATGATATGATTTGTGGGATTAGGGTCTGGTTCATCGCAGTAGTAAACATCGACTAATTCTGTTAATGGCCTCTATTTTGCCGTATTAATTGTCCAACACACCTTATGTCCTCTACTTGTGTGTAATCTTAGAAAGGTTAAAGTGGATATCGTGTAATGCCCCATTTCTACCATCTTCATACATCGTTGGTACCCACCAACGATTTATTTTGCTTGGATTGTTATCAACATTTTGACTCTTTTAAATATGTAGGTATGCTTAAAATTATAATGAGTTTTTGGTAGGTATGACAAACAATTTGTAAGTTTAAAACTAATTGCACACGTTTTGTGTTGCGAAATCTTTAAGAATATTTCAGAATTTAAAGCAACATAAAAGTACTTTTAAGTAAAACGTTTTATAACTGCAAGTTCGATTAAACTCAGGTAATTAGTTACCTCACCTGTCAGATGTTATCGGTTCAGGGAACACTTGCATAAGGTGTTCAAAATTAAAATGAGCATTAATTGACGTGCAGTGTTTTCTTAGTAATCTTTTGCTGTTAAGGCTGTCTTACTTATTTTTATTACATCGTCATTTACACATAGATGTATTTTACAAAACGTTAATCGACTCTTAAACTTAACATCGATCATTGAAAGACCCTAAGGCTGAGTTGCACCGTCTTATTTTAACCGTAACCATAGTGTTTTAGTATGGACTTTAATAGACTTTTGGCGCATGTTAAAGTTAATGAAGATGGTGCAACACAGGGTCTCAGGGTCAATATCTCTAGTACGCTATCCTACGCTGATGTCAGCACATTATTATCACTGTAAGTTGTTCTAGGGCTGTGTCACTCCCTCTTATAGTTTTTGATCACTCAAGAAATTTAAAACGTTTATCGAAATGTTTAACGTAACATATAAAACATACGGAAGTGCACTACTAAGTAGGTTCACATAGGTCAACATGTGCATGCGCCGGTAATACAATTACAACAAGGTGAAGATCTGAACGGATTAGGGGCAAGCCTAAGCAAGGCTCAGCGCTGGAAATACGTTAACTACTCGTATCTACGATTAGAAGTATTTAATAATAATACTAAATAAAATTTTAATCATTAAAATGCTTGAATAGGAAAGTAAAAAAAAAACTATTTTAAAGTATATGAAGACTGCAATACTGTAAAAGTAAAACAAGATGAGTTATATCTTCAATTAAATTGTTTTTTTCAGCCGTTCAAAATCTTCCAAGTTGGTACAAACAAAAATTGCAAGCACGTAGATATTACGTTTTTAGATATTCTTGTGATACGAGTAAACATCTGGTCACACCAATGAACATTTCATCATACAACCATTATAATGGAAGCAAAAAAAATCTTTACATAACAGTTTTCAGCTTGTCCTTAAAATACATAATATTTGTTTAGGTACTTTACGCATCAACACTTGGTATTTTTAGGTCATGTTAATGAAATGAAACCTTATAAACTTCTGGTTTAACACGCAACGGAGAAGTATGTTGTATGTAAAAACAGGGGTAACAAATTAAACATTACTAACAAAGTTACCGATAAGAGCAAAAACAGCATGTAGTATTTTTTGTGTTTAAATTAAGTATGAGTAACCTCAAGATAAAAGGAAAATGCGAAAAATTTCACAATTTGGTATAATAGTAGTTTAGACGTACCTACTTGTGTATTTTAAATTGATGGTCAAAACTTGATTCAAACTCAACATCCATCTAAACCTCTGATTTTTTTATCCTAGGGCCAGTTTGAGCACTAGCAGATGGCTGGAATTCTGGACTATATTCTCTGATAGCCTATTCGCAAGATGTAGTCATCCTCCAAAAGTACCTACCTACACACTTGCAGGTTTTGTAAAATATGTTGCCAATAAGCAATAATTAGAAAAATAAATAAATGGCAACCATTTTAATAATACATAATATAATAAACAAATCGTGTAGTTCCTCCTGAAACGTAGAGCAGTACCTACGTCCTACATTACACATACGCATTATGCACCTAGTATAGTTATGTAATAACATGTAGGTCATCATTTTCACGTCCTGCTCCCAATTAATTCGTCTGGGATCTTGGCACTATCTGGGGTCGACACACTGTCTTCCATTCATCCCGGTCTCGTCACTGTGCTATCAGCTGCCATTCAACCTGGCTAGCATTCTCATTCATTCCATCCATATTATTATTATTATTTCACGAAGCTATTTTTCAGCTTTATCACGGAATTTTCTATTGTGGCATGAATTCACGATTTTTTTTTATACAGAACAAGGCAGGTATTTGACCGCAATCACCCCTGATCATTTCAGTATTTAGAAGTAAAATGTTACTCTTTTTGGACCTACGTATGAAATAGGTAAGGAAAGTATGTCATGGCAGATCTAAATAGCTATAAAGTTTATTTATAAACAGAAAACTGAAAGTAAATGTTTCCACGCAAGTTTTGGGCCTGATGAATTTTGCACGTCTACGTCACTGTAAAAATGCCTATATACTTACGTAATTACATTACTATACTTGGTCTTGGGTTAATATATTGTATAAATAATGACTTCGTTTGCAACTAATGGGGCTGCATCAAGTTCATATTAACCTTGTGCTGGGTCTAGGGATGTTTAAAAGTAACAACGATATCGAAATGAAAGTTAGTGAAGAGGAGTTTTGTTCCGTTTAGAATTTGTAGGGTTCTGAACTATTATAATCCATTGTGTAAGCTATTTACTGCTTTGGAGTTGCAGGTATCAATGTTGATCTATCACCTATCAAAATAAAACTTACGTTTTAAACTGTAAATAGTAGCTCTATTTAGTAAGATTGGTTGTATTATTAGCTAATCTGTAGCTAAATAGTAACTATAAGTACGATAAAAACTTTGTGATTACCTATGTGCTGTCGTCTCTACATTATTTTTCTTTTTTTAATATTAATACAGTTTAGCTATCGACAGCTTCGTCCATCCCTAGCTTACACGTGACTTTTACTATAAGTCGTATGCAATTAAGAACTTGGTTAAAAATCGCATGTCTTGGCGTGGCACGAACTTTTGTCATAAGGCAACTCTATATGCTTATGTTTTTATCGCTCTAGGTCATTCATATGCACTAGTAAACTAATTATTACCCTATTTAACTAACATTGTATGATTCCGAAATAACACCACAGTTTCCGCGTTTTCAGTTCGTTTGAATAATTTATTTTCAAGGTTGCATTGTTAGACGTCAATGTGAATTAACTAGAATAATTTTATTTATAGGAAAAAATTAAAAACAGTAGCTTAGCTTAGATATACATATGTACATACCTAATGAAATCATAATCCAGTCAAAAGTTATAAATACTTGGGCGAATTTGAGATTCCCGCGACGTGATTTGAGATTCCATATTTTTCCTAGTAAAATGAGGTCAAGGTCAACCCTAATTTTATATCATAGATTTTGTTCCTAAATTTCAATAAATTCTATTTTCAATCGAGCCAACCCTATAATTTTAGTTTCAAATATCCACTTATTCACATAACATTTTTGTTAGGTACTTATCAAAGCACATACTTGTTACTAACAATATCGGCAGAAGTGCTATCAGGACAAATATGAGACTTGTAATAAATAATTAAAGGAACATATAGGATTACACTTTTCAGTTACCTTTGTCGATTTCTTTTCTGTATAGCATGAGTCACTAATAATAATTAAACATAATTCGTGCTTTTTGAGTTTTACACACCTTTTTTATTCATGAAGTAATTGAATTTGCCTATCTAGATTCTAGAGGATTTAGAAATTTTAATTTCAACAAATGCCTTGTGTTTTCTAGTTGTAGTTAAATGACAACACCCGCAGTATAAATGCAGTAAATCAGCTTAGGATTTATTATGTAAAGACGTGGCTGCAATACAGCGGAGAACTCCACGACATTTTAAGTCCAAGTGACTACATACCATATTTAAGGATCAAAATGAACTTCCTTATGTATTTATCGCGCAAGGGTAGTTAAAGAGGCAACAAATGTAGAATTTGTCTATCTCTCTCTGCTTCAGGCAAAAATGATACAAACGTGCCAACGAAATAGACACATATTTTACGCCCGAAAAACCTAACTCTTCGGCGACAGGTAGAATTAGTATTCGTAAGTATTTATCTACTTTTATCCAAGTTCAATAATTTTCAGGGGCCATATACCGGCTTGCGAAGCTTGCAAATGGAATTCATCTGATTTCACTGAAGTTTGCAAAATGGAATTCAACTTAACTGAAAGCTATCTGCAGAAAAGCTCCGCTGATTCACAGCCCCGGCTATAGGCGGAAGGACGGCTACACGCGACTGACGAAGAACAGTCACAGTAATTCTTTCAGTTTCCGGTACACGCACTTTCCATACTGCAGAATAACCAGACGTTTATCGTATTTCCTTACGCAATCATTATGGAGTGTAAACGTTTCCTGTTGTATTTTTCATGACCTTAATATTCCGACACCCTTGGCAATATTTACATACATTTTTATATTGCTATTTAGGGTACTACAATTTTAAATGAGTTCAAGGCAACTTTCTTGTTAGCGATATGGTTATGATTTATTTGCTACTTAACTTACTGAAAGGTAATTTGTTTAAAACTAAACTTAGCTATAAAGAAAATACAAATTTAATGAATTATTTATTTATT